CTGAGAGCCCATCCAACCCAGCCAAGTTCCATGCGTTCTGATCCCATGGAGATTTGGCCATTGAGTTTTAAAACAACAGAAAACTTCCTCTCCTTTTCCTATTTGGAAAGTCCTTTGCCCATGGGGAGTGGGAGAAGGCCAGTCTGAAGAAGCCTGATAACATAAGCTTGACCATCACATGGGGGGATGGGCCCTGTTACCAAGGGACTACTTCCCGCCTAGAGAAGTTTTACACCATAAGCCAGAGAGCAACTGGCTGAAGGGCCTCCAGCCTTGTGGGCCCCACTGCCAGAAGGGGTCCTTCTCCGAGGGTCCCTGAGCAAGGTGTAGGCCATGGCAGAGGGCAAGGCCTGACGTCCTGGTTCCTCTGGGCTGCACTGACTGTTTTCTTTTGTTTAAAAAAGTATTACTGCTTTACCGCTGATTTATAATATTATACAATTGGGGGGGGTACATTTTCTCTTCGATGTGTGTATACGCCTCATTTCACCCACCACCAAGGTTCTGGAGGCCTATGGGGTCGATGCCCCCGCCCCATCCCCTCTGGTAACCACGTATTTTAGAAAGACCCTGAGTTAATTTTGTTGCGATCTGTTAGTTCATTTGCTTTGGTTATTTATCTTCCACATATGAGAGAAACCACCCAGTAATTGTCTTTCACTTTCTGACTTATTTTCCTCTTAATATCATCACCTCAAGTTCCATCCATGCCATTGCAAAAGGCAAGACTTCATCTTTCTAAATAGCTGAGTTGTGTTCCATCGAGTGTACACACCACAGCCTCTTTAACCGCCAGCGGGTTTCAGGTTGTTTTCCATGTGTTTGCTTATCATACATTCAACAAGGGCTGAATATCCACAAACTATCAAGAACTCCTACTACATCACCACAACAAAACAAAAAACACCATCAAAAATGGGAAGAGGATTTGAATAGACACTTCTCCAAAGAAAACATGCAAAGGGCTAACAGGCCCATGAAAACGGGGCACTTATTAATAGGGAAATGCAAATCAAAACCCCAGGGAGACACCACCTCACACCTGGAGGATGGCCTGCATCAAGAAGACTGGAAACAATACATGCTGTGGGGTGGTGGGGGAGCAGGAGTGGCTCCCTCGTGGCTGGTGGGAATGTAAATTTGCTGCCTCTAGGGGAAACCGTATGGAGATTCCTTAAAGTCTAAAAATGGAAATACCATATGACCCAGCAATATCTCTTCTGGATATTTATCTGAAAAGTAATTAGACACTAATGCAAAAAGACACTTGCTGGTTATAATGACACCCTCTGGAGGGCCTCTCCCTGCAGGCTGGACAGTCCCTGTCCACGCAGAGGAGCCCACGTCACCTTCTGCCTGATCTCAGTGCCCCTGGTGGTGAGCCGCAGCCAGGCCTTTATCACTGTAGAGTGATGTCAGGGGCAGAAGGCCCTGGCTGTGTTCCAGGACCAGAGAGAGAGAGAGAGAGAGAGAGAGAGAGAGAGAGAGAGAGAGAGAGAGAGAGAGAGAGAGAGAGAGAGAGCGAGCCCCTGTGTATGTGTGTATAGAGGACAGAGCTGGCTGTCACTCCGGCAAGGTCAGAAAACCAGCAGCTGGGAAGGGTCCTGCCCTAGGTTGTCACCACGAATCAACTGGTCACGTCCCACTTCCTGGTCCCTTTCACTCCAGCAATTCATAGAAGGAAAACTGCTTCCATGTTTTGGAGCGGGGTAGAGAATGAGGTCCATTTGCCCCCACTCTCCCCTCTACCCAGGCCTGTTCTGTCCTGAGAACATGGTTTAAAATATTCTAGTCACAGGCAAGCTATTCAAATAAAATAGAATTTCAAACCACATGGGGCTTGTTGAGACATTCAGGCTTCTAGGATGTGTGAAAGGCAGGGGGAGGGGCGGGACAGGCCCCAGTGCTCTCAGTCCTCTTTATTACCAGCAGCTGCAATGCTAGACACATCCCCGGCGGACGAGAGAGCAGGACTGACAGCCAGCGGGCACATGACAGCCACTGCCAGGCTCCCCTCCTCGGTAGCAACTTTAATTATTTCAACTGGAGCTCAACAAAATAAAAATAAAATAAAATCAGAATAAATTGTAAATGGCTTCCCAGTTTCCTGCAGAGAATAGCTTGTGGAGGGGAGTGAGGGGAAAAAGAACCCCACCAAAAAAACAACAAACAAACAAAAAAAACAAAAGAAAAAAACTGCGAAGCTCCCTCTTGTTTGTGACTGGGCTAGGCAGAGGTCTTTAAATATTCATGCCCCATATGCAACTATGCAGAGCCATGGAGAAGGCAGTGCCTGCACCAAGGCCGGCCAGCCAGAGGCAGCCGCCATGGCGGCTGTGGCATCTGGGGAAGGAGGCTGGAGCTGGAGGGCTTCCAGAATGCCTTGGAAGCTACTGACATGAAGGCACAGCCTGGCTGCATCTCCATTGTTGGTGGCCTCTGACTGGCTCCACGTGGCTCCAGGGATGCCTTCCTCCCTCCTTCTGTCTTTGCTTCTGTCTTCAACCCCATGTTTCTAACCTTCCCCGATCTCTTTCTAAAAGGCAAGTGACATCACGCTTTCTGGGGCCACAGGTAAGGAAAGAGAACAGCCTAGGCTCAGAACGCACTTTCGCGTTCTGCATTTAGCACACTATGGACAACTATGCTCAAGTGTCAGTGTGCAATGAAATCCTCAAGGACAGGGCTTGAAAATGCAGACCCCCAGGCTCTGGGGAGGTCATTCAGGAAGTCAGGGGTGGGCCCAGGCATCTGCATTATTACTTTTTCCAAATGACTGCAACAGGAGAAACACAGACCCACTAGTCAGTTTGGATCTAGATTTTCATGGAAATGCATGGACGGTAACACCAGCTTCCCTGCGGGAAACCACTGATGATTGTGGGGGTTCTTGAGGAAGCATCCTTGGAGATCCTGCACTCACTTCAACCCTTTAGAGGACTCACGGACCAGGACTGGCCTGGGGTCATAGAAGACCCTCAGCAGTGGGTCTCAGCCCTGGAACTCAGCTTGGGCAGCCACCTGTTCCTGTGAGCCCAGCCTTCATCAGAGACCTTCCCCAAGGCTCCAGCTCGTGCCCGCTCTCCACACAGAAGCCCCCACCCCTGCAGGCCCCTTCGGGGTTGGTGGGGCTGAAAGTGCCAAGTCAGCCTCACGGGGCCTCATAGAGGCGCAACCTCCATTTCCCTGGCCCCGGAGATCAGCCAACCTGGGCGGATCTCAGCTTCCTGCTTCTGCAGTTACGGTTTGAATAAAATAAATAGCAGGGCTTACAAACCTGGAAATGCATATTTCTATTTTGGTTATTTATTTTTCTGATGAAAACATTTCCCCCAACATTGGGAATTCAAAGACCCATCAGCATTAGATGAATGGCTGGAAAGCCTGAATGTGAAATAACCGTGAGCTGAGAGGGAATGGACGCGCTGCCTTCCCTTCATTACTCCTGCTGAGCCAGGTTCTGGAAAAGGGCAGGAAATAGCAGAAATCGCCCAGAGCAAATTCGACTGGAGGAAAAATAAAACAGGCCAGTAAAACAAAACACCTGTTTAAGCTATTGATCAACCCAAAGGTTATTGAAAAATGATGAAGCATTAGAAAAATGTCATTTTTACCTTGTCACTTCTTTTTCTGGAATTAGGCTCATATTAAAGCCAGCGAAGAGTAAATGTAAAGACCAAATGCTCACGTGGACCAAGCGTCTCTCCTCGTTTAGATTTCTTTGTGAGCAGCCCTCCTATCTAGGTGCCTGCTCTGAGGCACCTGAGAAATATCAGCGCTGACTGTGTAATTCCGCCATCTGCACCGACAGCGTGGGTTTCTCAAATACAATTTAATGTAATGAATCTATTTATTTGTGCCCTGACTTCTTCCCAAAAGGATTTAAGGTAGCTCACAGAGCTACATAAAGTCTGGTTAATAAAAAAGAAACTCGAAGAAGAAAACTAGAAGAGGGTGAGAGGGTGGGGCAAACAGTGGGTTATAAACCAGAGCAGGAGCAAGGCTGTGAAACTGCACATCACGAGCCCCTGTCTGCACATGAAGGGGACGCCTCGGACCTCACCGACCATTCCGCTGATTAAAACAAATTCATCCATACGTCTTTTCCATTCTTATTTGATTTATGTCTGTGAGTTTTTATTTCACAAAAAGCCTGGAGGCTTTCGGGGGGGTGGGGAACCCCTATTTCCTGTACCTCTGTGGGCCCAGGTCTCTCTCCCCAGGGCCAGTCTGGTCAACCTCACAATGTCCACAAGCAAATTGCTCAGAAGGGGCATAGCTACTCCTGAAATGAAGCCAGAAAGGAATGTCTCCATTGCTTCCAGAACAAGAGGACTGGCCATATATGTTAGCTGGCAGGACGTTGATGCAGGACATGGGGGTTTGGGGGTACAAAGAAGCACCTGCTCCCTGAGAGCACAGAGTCTGATTTTGGCTAAAGTCCTCTTCCTCTTCCCCCCATTCTTCTTCCAAAGGTGTGTACAGGTGCTGGTGGCAGGGGAACCTGGCCTGATTCCAGGGTCCAGGAGCTAAGAAACATGGTACCAGTCCCTCAGTCTTCACACTGAGGAGGTAAGAGCCACAGGAAGCAGCCGAGAGAGTGGCTTTGGAGGGATCTCACTGAATGCCACTGACATCTTAGTGAAAGTTAAAAATATCAAATCCCTGATGCTCTATACTATTTGAAATGTCTTGTAAGAGTTTGGTCTTTTTAAAAAGGATGCTGGAGAAAGTCTTGTGTAAATCACCATTACCCTCCCCTGCTACACCCTGGAAATATTTTCTGGGTTTTAATTAAGGCCTCTCTGCAACTGAGGATGGGGGTTTGAGGTAAATTTCTGTGCAAGCGGGACTTGAGCCTGTTACTGGGTTATCTCTACTTAGAAGATGGCAAAATGGCTCTCTTGACTTCTCTCCAGAGATCAGGCAGGGCTGGCACCACCTGGGCGTACTGCTCGTCAGGGTTCATCTAGAGGTGCCCAAGGCAAGGGAGGGAGAAGTCAGAGACTCAGAGCAACACTGAGACTTGCCTCACATGGAGAGTTCTTCATCGGTGCAGGGAAGGTAGTGCTGGTCACCGTAGCACTCTCCGAAGCGGGGACATCAGTGGTGCTGAGCAACAGGGCGTGGCCTGGGCAGAGAGGGTGAGAGTCAGAACTGCACCATCGTCAGGCACCGAAGGCCCTTGGGGTGCAGCGTGAATGGGATTCTTTCTCTCTAGCCTGGAATAATTTGAGGACACGACCTTCTCCTGCCTACAGTGGATAAGACAGCCTCCTTGTCACTGTCCACAAAACTAGGTGCATGCAAAGGTCTTCATTCCAAACAGCCATGGACACTCCGGCAGGCCACTGCATCCCTGATGGCCCAAGGTCCGCAGCCCCAGGAGCAGCCTGAAGCATGCTGGGCCCTCAGCCCCTCCTGCCGTACTTCCAGCCCTGTCTTCCAATGTCTCTAGGACCTTTGCTCTCTTCTCCCTACACAAGCCCAGTCATCCTGTGGCCTATGCCCTGATGAGGAAGACTCCTTTCTTGGGTCATCTAAGCACCGATCTGTCTGAAAACCCGGGAGAACATGGGCCTCCAACCCCCCGATGTGGCGGGGAGCCTCCGAGAACTGCAGACCTTTTTCCAGATGGTCAATGTTCCTGCAACGTTGACTGCAAGCAGGACTTCCATCACTCATTTATTATCTCTTGGCAAAGTCTGTTACAGAGCTACTGCCAAGTGACACATTTAGGGGACCTAGGCAGAGTAATGAGGACAGGCAGGAATCTCAGAAAGCGCGGGCAGGAGCGGCAGTACCTTGGTGGTTCTGCAACCAAGCATCCTTCAGGGCCTTAACCTGCCACTGCGGCGTGGGGCGCGAGAGCGTGCCTTGGGTCCAGCCACAGAAGCCATTCTCGAAGTTGCAGTAAAAACCAGCAGGGAGTTTACCTGCAGGCAGAGCACAGAAGCATGGTCATTTCCAGGACTGCTAAAGCCAAACTATGCCAACGTCAAGTAAAATTAGTCAGGCGTGGCCAAATTATTCACATAGAAACAGGTCCCCAGTCAGCCCCTGGGACGTGCAACGACAGTAATCCTGATGAAGAAAGCACCCATCCCCGACTTAGGCATGTGCTGAAATCTTCAGAACATAAAGTAATAATAACACTAACTCCTCAGCGGGGGTATTGATAAGCCTGATTTAGACATGGCAAGCAGAAGTCCAGAGATGTTAAGCATCCTGACCAAGGTCACACAACCAACGGGTCACCCAGCTGGGACTTAACCCAGGTCTTCTGCTTCCAATCCGGTGCCCTTTATACTCGTGCACCATGAACATGGCACCTGAAGAAGCCAATGTATGTCAACAGTCACAGGGATGTGGTGGTGGCAACAGAAGCTGACCAGGAGTTGGTTTGGATCCCACGAATCACCTGCCTGCAGAATCACCGATGTCTTAAACTTTCTCTTCTGACCCCTGCATTTCCCAACTGCCTTAAGTGAAGTCACACAGGCAGTTCTGGGCTCACTGAGATGTGAGTGAAGTGATGCGTGTCTCCTCTGGGCTGAGGCTTGTGCCACTCGCTCATCTGCCTCTCTCCGGCTGAAATGGCGCAGGAGCGCATGGTGCAGTGTGGTGGCAGAGCTCCTGCCAGGCTGGCTCCTGTGGGGTCAGGCTCCTCCCACCTCAGTTCTCAGGGGGCAGGTTCTATAAATGTTATGTTAAGTCTCTGAAAATTTGGGATGGTTTATTACTGAAGCATGACCTAGCTTCTCCTGACCAAGCAATCCCAGTCAGCGGGGCCCAGAGCTTGTGCGGGCTCAGCAAAAAGGGCCCCGTTACCTTTTCTGGACATCAAACTGACCTCGAGTCCCCTGGAAGAGGCCACAGTCAGCTTTATCGACTATGTATTTCCCAACTGCCCCCAAGGTGGGAAGAAGGGGGTTAGACAGAGTTCACTTTCCCCAGCTTAGTGGCTGCAGGGACACACTCAGCCCTGAGGAGCGCGTGGGCCATCCCGGCTCATCCCAGTATCCACAGCCCCGGCCCGGGCCATGAGGAAGCAGCAGGGCTAAGTCTCCCCAGGAGGAAAGCAGCTCTCCAGCTGAGACCCACCGATCTCCATGTCCTTCCTCTGTCAGCAGCCGGCTGACAAAGCAGGCCCTAACACTTCCTGGCTGTGACAGCACCTTAGTGAATTATTACTCACTTCCCCCTGATTCTTTGTGCATTTCACACAGAGGCAGAATTATAAATTAAAACAGGCTGTCACTGACTTTGAGCATCTCTTCCCATTTATACCCCCCTGAAGAAATCACTTTCCCCCCAAGCCCCACGTTCCTCTGATTAAATATCCAAAAGCTAAGGAGATCTTTCTGTTTTATTTTTTATGCCCCCCTCCAGGGATCCCATGTCCAATTCTCTTGCAAAAACTAACTGGTAGCTGGACGTGACCTTCCAGGAAGTGTCCTTCACAGCCAGCTTTAAACCGAGATCACAAGGGAGGATTCCAGGAGGCGGTGGGCTCCTGGGAGGTGTGGCCTGCACATCTCTCATTCCCTCTTTCCCTTTAAGGAGCTGGAGGCAGAGAAATTAGCCCCCAGGTGCTGTTACTAGTATAGCTTTGAGCCCGGACTCCTGGGCCTAGGCCTAGCTAACTGCTTTCTGCTGCGTGACCTTAGGCAAGTCACGCCCTTCCTAGACCCAAGTTCCTTATCTGAACAAGGGATCTTGTTAGTGCCTATTTCACAGGGAGGGAATGTGGAAGCATTTTGTGGATAGGCAGAGCTGAGCCAATAAAGAATGGAGGTGGCATTATTAATTCTTAGCACACCTGGGGTAGGGGACCTAATCTGGGTCCTGCCTTATCTGGGGTCCTGCCTCAACCGCCTCTGAACAAGCCTGTGTGGCTGCCTATGCCTTTCACCTGGACAGGAATGAGGAAAGTCATTGGCATTCTCCACACCAACAGGATTGGAAGCTCCTTTCTTTCCAGTTGTTGAGTAAAGGGAGAGGAGGTAGGCAAATAGGTAGGTCATGCGACAACTAAACCTTGAAGGGGGGGAGTGGTGAGAAGATTTCTGTCACTTATGCACATCAGGGTGTGCTCAGCAAGAAGCCAACCCCCAGGGAGTTGGTGGCCCCAGAACAATGACCGTGCAGGAGTAGGCTGGGCTTGGCAGACTGCTGCTGGGACTGCCTGCTGGGCACAATGCTGGAGCATAGATTTGGGTGTTGACCCCTTCTTTCTCCTCTTTTTCATCCCAAGAGCCTACTCAGTGCTTGGCACCACATGGCATCTTAATACTTACTTGCTGGCATGGGTTCAATTTTCCAACCCCCTGCTACTCAAAAAGTGGCGGGGGACCAGCGACAGAGCATCATAGTTAGAAGTATAGAATCTCAGATCTTCTGAATCCCCATGTAATCAGAACCTGCTTTTAACTCACTTGCCAGGTCAATCCCATGACCCAAAACATGGGAGAAGTGGTGCTCTGACCCACCCCCTTCTTGGGCTGCAGCCATTTATTTGACTGGCTGGATGACCAAATTGGGCTGGGTGGGGGTCAATCAATCCTGCAACATTTGGCAATTATGATACCTGATTCCACTCTAAGAGAGACAAATTGGTAGAGTCACAGAGATGTGACCTCAGCAGCAACTGCAGGAGCTGCCAAGTATAAACTCCAGGCCAAGTGACACTACTTTTCCGTCCTGTTTGACAGCTCTGTTAACATGCTTGATAAATACATGTTATACGTTTCCTTGAAAATACAGAGCCATGGAAAAAAATGCTAGAAGAAAAACAACAAAATAAATGGTTATCTCTGAATGTCTGAGAGGGGGGATTATGGGTGGTAGTTATTTTCTCCTGTGCACTTTTCTAGATGTTCCAAATACTTTACAATCAACATGTTTTATTTTACAATAAGGAAATAAGCTTTTCAAAAACTGTCTTCGCTTGGGAGGATATTGTATGTATCAAGGAGACATAAACTGCCTACGGTGCCCAGTGAGTCGATGGCCTTTCCAGGAAATGAAGTGGGAACACCTGCCCCTTTTTGAGGGTTCCACATGCCAGCGAGGCCACCGCTCAGCACACAGGGATGCTGAGAAGCTACCCTTTGAAGGGTGACAGCATCCTGGGAAGTTACGCTTAGATCAGCAATGTCTGGTTGGAAATGATTGGGTTAGAGAGGAAGGAGAATGGCCCGTGGTGATGGGTTTGAAGGGAGGGGCAGATGGCTGTCTTGATGGAATGGAGAAGGGTAAGGGCGATACCACCTTCATTTCAGACCCTCACTCATCCAGGCCAGAAATGTTGTTCAGGGTTGGGTCTGATCAGCTGCAGAAGCTCCAGTGGGTGTGGGGAATCCCTTCCGGGGAATGTGTGAAGTTGAGACTGGGACTTACAGGACACAACCTACTTTTTCTCTTTGTATTCCAGCATGGCAGGGCTTGGTTTGCTACTCAGGTCCAGCATTAGTGACCCTCGAGGGGTGACCACTTGCTCTGAGCAAACATTTCAGTAGTTTCCAGATGTTGTCTTCAATGTATCCTGGATGTCAGTGGGTCTCATGTTACGAATCATATGAGGAATCTGAGACCCAGAGTCGGGGGTGACTGATTTGAGAGCCCCTGTCCACCCCCTAAGGTGGTGGCAGAGACCTAGGTTTTCCCTGACTTCTCCTGGCTCCTTTCTTCTGGGAGGACACACAGCTACGGTTATGCAAACTACTATGTCTGGTTGGAAATGATCTGGCTTGCAGCTAACTACTGCAAACTCATCAAATAAATGGGTCTGGTTTGTAGTGGTTCAGAGTGTGGGCTTTGGAGTCAGACTAAGTCTGAATCACTGCTTACTTATGGCTTTGAGTGTGGACTTGGGGTGGTTGCCTTAACAGGGGTACAGGGCATTGCGCTGGACTGTTGTGAAGAGCAATTAAGTTAGTATGTGAATTTTAGGGCAGCTCCTGGCACATAGTAAATGCTCAGTTCACATGAGGCATTATGATTGTTGCTATCTTGGTGGGGATGGTTTCTAGAATCAACATCAGTCAGTGTGATAGGGAAAATAGCAAAACTGCCAGAGAGAATTGGGCACACGAATAAGGAAGTGTGCAGTGTACTGCCAAGATCTGAGTGACAGAAAGATCAAAATAACCCACTTTCTGAATTGAACTACTCCTCCCAGCCACTGATTTCTGAAGCAAAGAACTCAGTGGGGATGTCTCCAGGGTGGAGCTGTCATTCTGACAGCTGGTCGAAGCAGCTTTTCAAGTGTGGTTGGAAAGGTCTCTGGGCCCTAGGCACCTGCCCTCAAGCTTGGAGTTGGCCCTGGAAACCCGCTAATGACAATCCTTGGAGTGGTGGGGAAATGCCTTGGGCCCACAGTAATGGGCTACGTCCCGCTGGCTCAATGCCCGAACCGTTCCTGACATGCTGTGTGACCCTGAACAAATCAATTACCTTCTCTGTGCTTTCATTTTCCCAATTGTAAATCAGGCTAGGGCCTTTGTTGACCTCTGTCCCAGCTGGGTAGTGGGACTCTAACTTTAAAAAGGCAAAAGCGAAAATCACACAGCTTAGAGGCACTGCTGGAAACATTGCAGAGACATACTGCTAAAGAGGAACATGGTACCTGCTGGGGGCAACATGGGCAGCAGCTTCATCTTGGTGTACGTGGGCAGGTGAGTTCTGGAGAAAGGCCAGGTGCAGAGAGAGCAGTGTGGGGAAAGCAAAGTGTTTACCTGCAACTCTTGATAGAGTTATATCTAACTAATCATAATTCCATCATAATGGGAAAAATGTCACTATAAAGTTCTGTATAAAAAGGAAGTTTTCAAATTGAAAAATGGATCTCATTTAAAAGAGACTAAATGAAACCTTTTTTTTTTTTTCTCCCAAAGGAGATGGGACCTCGGATGACTTGCTGGATGCTGTGAACTTTTTAAACCTGTTCCACAGGTCGAGTGTCTCGGGACTAGTGTATCTGAGGCGCCAGGCATTTGCTCCTGGATCTGTACCCACAGGACCTCAGTCTGAATCCGATTCCACCTGTGGCTCTCTGCTGTTTCATTCCCTGGTCTAGACATTGGATTTTCAGGACAGGTGTTCAGTTGTCACTTCTGCTCCAGGATTTGGCACATTTTTCTGGGTTCACAGTGTATGTGTTTTTTGGGTGTTTGTGCTTTTCCTGGCAAAACTGTAAAAAGCCTTTGGGTAGCCAGGCAGCTACTGAGAATACTGTATTCAAGTGGCATGAGCACTGGGCTGGGAGTCCAATTCTGTCTTAAGTACCAGTGAGACTTCAGCAGTTTGTTTTCCTCTGTTTAGTCCCAGTTTCTACTCATTAATTTATTATGATCCACTAAGGGTCTGTGACCACTGTGCCAGAAATCATTTGAGATGATGGGGTTGGGGAGAATACCTGAACTAATGTACCCAGAGACAGGGAGAGACACATGGAAACCTCCTCCATAAAATGTAATGAATACAAACCACTAGGCTGCCTAAAATCAAAACCCAGAGAATAATAAGGGTTGACAAGGATGTGGAGAAATTGGAATCCTTACACATTATCGGTGGGGATGTAAGATGGTTCAGTCATTTTGGAAACAGCAGTTACTCAAAATGCAGAATATAGATTACCAACAATTCTACTCCTAGCTATTTGTCAAAGAGAAATGAAAACATCTGTTCACAGAAAAACTTGAACATGGATGTTCAGAGCAGCATTCTTAACAGCCCTAAAATGGGAACAACCCAAATGCCCATCAACTGATGAGTGTATAAATAAAGTGTGGTCCATCCAGACTGAAATATTATTCAGTTAAAAAAAAAGAGTGACGTAGCCTTACATGTAGGATGTAAGGATGAACCTCAAAAACATTTTGCTAAGTGAAAGAAGTTAATCACAAAAGATTACATTTTGTATGATCCCAATAACATGGAATGCCCAGAGTAGACAAATCTATAGAAATGGAAAGTAGATTAATGGTTGTTTAGGGCAAATGGGTGGTATTGGGGGGGGTGTTGTTGGAGGATATGAAGAGAGGTTGGTAGGGGCTTCTTTTTGGGGATACTAAACATGTGTAATTAGATGGTGGACAGTCACATAAACCTGTGACTATACTAAAAATACTGATTTGTTCATTTTATTTTTATTTTAAAGACTGATTTTTATTTTTATATAAGAACCGGGGTACAGGCCAGATGCGTGGAAGGGTGAAAGGATTCACTGGAGATGGAGCAGGGAACAGAACAGGCAGACTGACAAAATACACTGCTGAGGGAGGCAGCGGGCGAGACAGGAGAGGTCTGCTTCACCATGTGGGATTCTCACTGGCTGGCCGGGATCGAACCCACTCTGCAGAGGATGGGGACAGCTTCACAGTGTGGCGCTCAACTGCCTGCGCCACCAAGGAGGCCCTGATTTGTTCATTTTAAATAGGTGAATTATATGGTATCTGAACTCTATTTTTAAAAACACTGTTCATAAAATATAATGGATGTTATGGTGGGTGGAGGGCTACCCCAAGTTGAGGGGGGTTCAGAAGAAGAACCAGTTTACTTGTAGGGGATGGTCAGAGGAGGCTTCCCAGAGAACTACTTGTGTGGGGAGACCTGAGGCATAGGGAGAAGGTTCATCTGCATTGTGGCATTTGGGTTGTTCCCACTTTGGGGTTGTGATGAAGAATGCTGCTCTATATTTTGGCATTTTGATGTGACTTGAGATAGGAAGGGACATCTGGCAAGAGATGTTGGTAAAGCCACGGAGGCAGGAAGGAGCTAGGATGCGGTTTGACATGGACAGAGCTGGGGGATGTGGAGGGTTGGGGGGCCAATAGTGGCAGGTGGGTGGTGAAAGATAAAGTGAGGGAAACCCCAGGCTACAGGGTTTCTAACGTCATATTACAGACTTGGGTTTTCTCCTGCACGCTTCCTCTGTGTCATGAGGGAGCAGAGAGCACAACTATGAGATCTCGTTCTGGTTCCTTACTTGCATGCTGTTTCTAGAACACAGGTCTGAGCTCTGTTGAAGACTGTATAGCTTTTGAAAGTTGTCTGGGAAGACACAGTGGCAGTGGCCCTGAAGGAGGCTCTCTGAGCTCTTGTGCTTGGGGGTGGGGGCAGGGGGCGGGTGTGGGCTCAGGCTGGGATGAGGGGGGGTAGGGGCAGCCCCATCTACTCACTGCAGAGCTGGCCTTCGTCTTCTCCTTGGGCACAGTCCCGGTGGAAGTCGCAGGCCTGCCCGAGCTGGAGGACGGTCCCGTTCCAGCAAGTGAAGGAGCTCTGCAAAGCCATCTTGGAGCCTGGGGATGTCCCTGGAGAGCACACAGAGACAGGCCCCCGTAAGTTTGTGTGGTTCTGGGCCAGGTGGCAGGGAGAACCCCACTTTGTCCTGTGGTTCACATGTCGAGGCCTACCTGAGACACCAGCATTTCAGGGCCCACACTAGGAGGCTAAGAGGAAGTCAAAGTCCCTTACACCTCATTCCCAGCCCCAGGGGCAGGTTGGGGGGTCTCATTTTCTAGTCTTGGTGAGTAGCAAAGTGGTTTGAGGGTTGTCCCATGCCTCATGTGGGGTCCTCAAACCCACAGGAGGACAATCTGCAGTTGCATTTTGTCTGCAAGCAGACAGCTTATTCTTGAGGTTGAATATGAATGCTAAGAAGCACCCCATCCCATTGTCTGAGTGATATACTCTAGAAGCCTGGAACCCTTTCCATTACAGAGCACAAAGTGAGTGGCTGGGTCTGACCCAGGACCAGTTCCCCCAGGACCAATTATGTGATGAAGGTCATGACTCTTCTCTCTCTTAGAAAACTCTGCTATTTCTAAGGTCCTTTTCAGTTCCAAAATTCATAGAAAGATCACATTACCAAGTGGAGGGGAGGAGAGGGGGCAGTTTTTAACGGACAGATCATCGGTTATTCATTTCTGCATCAAGAACAATGCATTATGATGATTAAACTGCGGCCCCAGAGAACCGGCTCCGGTTGGCCTTGCCTCGTCTGCCTACAGAATGGGGACTTTGCCTGGGAACCCCCAAGCAAGGGCTTTGTGGGCGCTTCTGACTGTGTCTCCTGCCAGCTAGTTCCTGATGCATGTGGGGCAGAGGAACCTCGCCCCTGAGATAAGTAAGCAGTGCTCACGTGGGTTGACCCCCCATGGGGGGAGGTCTAGCTGCATCCAGGTGGCAGCTGGTGCCTCAATAGTTTCCCCACCCTCCCTGGTCACTGCTCAGCTGGCTGGTTGGAGAGGGTGAGCCAGGGCACCCACATGGCAGAGTCGCACAGCCTCTCCGAGCCTGACTGGGGGTGGTCTTCAACCCTGGGGGTGAAATCAGGTTTTCCCAGGTCTTAGTAAACCTCCCAGTTGATTATGATGTGGGACTTGAGGTTAGATGATCTTTCACATCTAAAATGCCATGCTTTTCTGGTTCATTGAACTGTTCCCTCCACCCGGAGGGCCATCATTTTTAACATCACAGTAGATTTCTCTCCTTTGGCCAGTGCTTTAAAAGTGAGTATAGATGTGTCATGTGTATATATGCCTGAAAATAATTAAGGTCATGTCAACAAGCTCGTCTAAGGGCTTAAAAATCCCCCAGAAGAATACTTTTTAATGACGGCAATAGGGCATGATAGGTACCATCATTTATTTTAACATTATTCAATGATTGGATTGTTAGACTATTTATAATAACACTTTGAAGACTATCTGTGAGCATAAACCTTTGCCTGCATTTCAGATCATTTTCATAGGATAGATTCCCAGAAGTGGAATTACTGAATCAAAGGGTATAAACATTTTAAAGGCCCTTGATAACATACTGTAAAATTGCTTTCTAGAAGTTAATCCAATTTACACTCTCACCCGCTGTGTTCATACCCTCACATTCTCCTTACTATATCCTGGCCAGCCCTGAATACTATCATGATTTTAATTTTTAACTAAAGATATTTCCTTTTTTTATTTCTATTTCTCTGATAGTGAGGCTGAATTACCACATTACTAGCTTTATTTTACTCTGACTTTTAGGAAATCACCTACTTCCTATTGCCAATTTTTCTTTTCTCTAATCTTCATGTTTTCCTATTGAATTGTGTGAAATTATGAATAAGGAGGTGAACTTATTTCTTATACATTTGATAATCTCAGTATTGCATATATATTTTCATTCTGTTTATAGTGTACCTAGATATACAGGAGTTTTAAATTTGTAAGTAATTACACCTATTCCTTTTTCCTTGGTGATGTCTTTTCCTTCCCTGTGGGGTGGGGAGGTAATGTGTGTGTTGCCCTTCAACTTCCTTGGGTTCCCCTTTCACTTGGGCAAGCCCCTCCCCCAGCAGCAGGAGGGGATCCTGACTCCCCGACTCAACTCTTAACTGCCACATTCTCCATCCCCGCAAACAGTCCTTTCACTTGAATTTCTGTAACTCTCGACTTCTTGCTTTTCACTTCTTCCTGCCTTTCCTATAAACAAACCAGCTTGTCTTTCTCACCAGACTGTAAGTGACTTAAAGGGAGGTATCAGGTCTTTCTTCCTGACTCTGCAACAGTGCCTTGTGTAGAGACCTCCCTGAATTTGGGGACTGAACTGATCTTCTATTATTTGTGGGTCTGTCCATCATATACATGAGAATACAAAGGCTTGCTGGGATTAGTAGTAACTCACATTTCTGACATCTTGTTCTCTCTCTTTTGTACTGTATCTGTCTTGGGATCTCCACCCCTCTGCACCCCCCCGGGTGATGAGTGTCCTCAAGAGAGGTGATAATGGGTACAGAAAGGTGGGAAGTCCTGTTCTTTAGTCACAAACCATGATGAAGGAAGTGTCCAGCAGCAAGGGGTAGTGCAGTTTCACTCTCTGGACTTCCCAGAGTTTATCTCTAGAACCTTCTTCCTGGGATAAAGCACAGCTGAAGTCCAGAGAAACCTCCTCGCCACCTCCTGCTCCTGCTGGAGAGACCAAGCTCCCTGGTAACACCTCCTCTGTACCACAGGGAACTTTATGCTGGCGAAAGATTCAATTAGATGGACGCCTGGTACTCTGATCTTTACTGCCAGCCCAAACTCAAACCTAATGAGCCGCAACAAAAAACAACCGCTCTGTCTTCTCAAGTTCTTTTTTTTATGGGGCCCATAAATTCCAAGGAGGAAAGTACCCTTGGTGAATGGTTTTAATCAAGGGCCTGAGTTTCCTAAACGGCATCCTTTCTGTGGTTGTGAAATGACTGTGGCTTATGGAGTGGGCTGGCCTGGGGTCTGGATGGCGAAACTGCCCCCAAAGCAGTGAAGAAGGGGAGGAGGGGCTTGGACTTGGACAGCCAGTCCCTGCATCTGCTGGCACTTCTCGATGGCTTCCACGCACAAGTGCCAGTGATGCCGGGTAACCACTGAAATTCCCAAGCTTCTAGCTGCAGAGAGGTTAGGGAGATCTGAGATCAAGCCTCTTTGGGGAGTGCTGGTGCTTGGGGATCTTTTGTGAAGTAAAAGTTCTTCTCTACAGGAATTTATTAACTTTGAAAGAGCAGTTTTTACCAGAATAATGATATAGGTCACTGGGAGTGGTAGACTGTCATCATTCCGTACCTTTGTATAACATTTTAACAGCTTGCAGTGTGCTTTCCTAATCCTTTCCTGTTTGAACCTCACAAAAACCTGGCAGAACAGATATTATGATTACCATTTGATTAATCAGAAGATCGAGGATTGGAAAGGCCCAACATTGTACTGGTAAATACTTTGTAAACAGTAGGCACCACAACACAACCGGCTCCTGCCCGTGGCCCCACAGCTAGTACGTGGCAGGTGAAGGCCAGACCCTGGTCAGATGTCCCAGCGGGAATTTCTTCCCCAAACTCAGATGAGATGGCCTTTCTGCCACCACTACCCTGAGCCCCTTGGGAAGTAAGAAACACTGTTGATGTTCAGGCTGCACCTTGGGCTGGCGGTTGAGAACCACTGCTTTCGAGGGCTGAAGCATGTGCTCCTGAGCTCCTGGGTGGGGCCTTGACCTCCATGGGTGCTCCATGGCCTCTGATAAAATGAGGGTGTGGCCTCCAATCCAACCTCTAAGACCCCTTCACCTTCTTCCTGAATCTGGGCAATGGCTGTTGGTGGCTCTATGTTTTTAAGGTCAACTTGGTTGCATTGGTGCCATTTTTACCAGTAATGACTATGTTACGGCTCTCCCCAAAGCCTCTGCTCTCTCACGCATCCTTACCAAGCCACTCACCCTGTCATTCTGGAACATCTTGCCTGAAAGTGCCATGTGTTTGTCCCTTTATCTGCCTCTCAATAGAAATGAGTTCAGATTTGCATCTGAGACAGGTGTGGCCTGGGTCTGTTACGAGCACCTGCTGTTCCACACCACAGGGCACTTGCATCTCACTCTCTGAGACATCTCTTCCCCCTAACCATGCATTCCAAACAGAAACCCACATACTCCCCTATTTCAGTCGTGTCTTGGAGATTTGAGGCTATAACATTGACACAACTTTCCTAATTCAAATTTCTTTCTTAAACGAATGTCAAATTTTAGGACATTTAATTAATATTTAATTAAGGTGACTTGTGTGGCATTAAAAAAGGCACATTTGTATCAGCTCTGGGTTTTCTCTCCCCTGCTTGCTCTTGCCTAACCAATGATGCTGTTACAGTGGGGGACACTGAATGCTGCTTCAGTGAGAAGGGGGTCTTGCCTTTAAAGAGAAGGGGCAATGATGTGGGGGGGAAGGCGCTGGCTTCTAGAGGAGGAGAGGGCAGGTGTGGGGCTGGAGCCCACAGGGGGCCAGGCTTCGGCCTGTGGGGGAGACTTAGAATTTCCCAGGATGAGGAGAACCAGGTGCTCAAGGGTAAACAAGCCGGAGACATGAAAATGGATGGCGACATGACGGGGACGTAGTCGAACAGCGCTGGCGAGCAGCCGCAGCCACTGTGCTGACGTTAATGGGGGTGCTGGAAGGCCCACGAACTGTGTAAATTAAGCCTGGCAGAGCCCCGTCCTGCTGAGGGCTTAGGGACTCATAAATTGCAGTGTGGACAAACTCATTAAAGAACTGGCATCTTGGGTTCCTACTCAAGATGTAAATTGGCGAGGAGTGGGTCTAACGTGGCGGGCCGCCAGCGGCCAGTGAGAAAGCACTGTGCTGGGAATCAGGAGGCTGGTTTGAGATCTAGCCCTGGCCAGAGGCCTCTGGGGCCATGAGCAGCCATTTCTCCGCTGGGCCTCTGTTTCCTTATTTGTCGGCTGGCCATTTACATTAGCCACGGGCTGAGGCTACCGCACTGACG